AAAAAGTTGACATCATCAATATTTCGTAAAAGACCGCGGCAGTTCCACTGCATTATACCTATATTTTTAACCATTTAAAACAAAATAAGTATAACATACAAATTCTACTAAAAAGCTATATTCCTTACGGTTTAAAATCTATTTTTACACGCGGTGCACTTTGTTTTTTGGGGGGGTTATTCTGCCTCCGATTAGAGTCACCGGAGGCAGAGGGGGTGGACTCTGATCTTGAGAGGAGAGCCTCCTCATCAGATCTCGACCCACCCTCATCCATGGGCTCGTCTGCAGTTGCTGGCAGCTGGCCCTTGGAGGTCGACTGCTTTGGCACTTCCCCAGGCTTCCTCTGGGGAGCAGAGGTGTGGGGAGGTAGGCCCCGACCCCGAGAGGTCGAAGCAGCTGGTTGAGCAGGAGACGTCATCTCCTGTTCTGAGGTGGATGCTGGCAAGGCAGCATTCACCTTGCGGTTCGGAGGCGGTGCCACCGGCGCCGCTCCCGGGGGTTTCGAGGGGGACCGTGATGGGAGATGCAGGTCGTCCGGAGACGTCTGCGTTCCCATCGAAACCATTGGCCGAGCTGGTCCCCTCCGCACGGCCTCGGCATAAGTGCCTTTTGAAACAAAGGCAAAACGCTTCTTTGCCTCAGTATACGTGATGCTTTCAGTGACTTTTAATGTAACAACTTCTTTCTCGTCTTTCCACACAGGGCAAGAGCGGGAGTATGCCGGGTGGTTGCCACCACAGTTTGCGCAATGGGGCTCATTATTGCACGCATCTGTGACGTGCTCCTTGCTGGAGCACTTTGCACAGGTGTCCCTTCCCCGACAGTTCCGTGACCCATGGCCGAACCTCTGGCACTTAAAGCACCGTTGAGGGTTCGGCACATAAGGTCGGACACGGCACTGAAGGTAACCTGCTTTTACAGTCTGTGGCAGAGTGGTTGAATCGAAAGTCAAAATGATGTGTTTTGTCTTCCGTTCCACACCATCACGGCGGATAGTGATTCGTCGTGCATCTGTAACTCCTTGACTAGAGAGGCCCTCAATTATCTCTGGCTCAGGTGAGTCAAGCAAGTCATCCTCAGAAATGACTCCTTGAACACTGTTCAGTTTGCGGTGAGGACTGACGCTTACCTTGTAGTCGGAGACAAGGTTGAGTTTGAGAAGGGCATCACTCTGCTGCTTTGTGTTGACCTCGACAAGGAGATCATCAGAAGCCATCTTTTTTGCACTGTAATTGGAGCCAATAACACCTTCAAGAACTTTGGAGACCAGAAAGGGAGAAAGTTTGCCAAGTGGCTTGTCACCTTCCGAGTGCATTACAAGGAATTTCGGGAATTTCTGCAGTACGAAAGATTCTTTCATCATGTTCAGTGCTTCGGTGCGGCCCCTTTTGGGGGGCCGATCAAAAGGTTTAAGTTTGGAACCCATATGAAGGGGGAGGGTTTTCGGAAACTGTGGTGCACCGCCCACCACCGAGCCCAACAAGGGAATAGGTAACGCTCCATAACAAGAATGGCTTGGCTGAAGACGTTACTCTATTAGTGCTGCCCAGTTTCTATAACCAAGTGTGGTTCTAGACAAGGTGTCTGTCGCCACCCAGGGTTAGCCCTTGCCGCCAAAAGAGTTGAAAAAGGAAAGAAGAGAAATGAGAAGAGTGAAAAGAAGGAGAAGACAAGGGTGAATGGAAGGGAGGGGATAGTAGAAGTGGCAACTAGACTGAATCATCCTGGCCGGGCCTTACCAGGACTCCCGTCTATGAGAAGCGGGGGCCGAAGTGGTGTATTGCCTCGCCCGGGGGGCCCCGAAGGGTCCAAACCTACCCCGGGCTTGGCTCAACCACCAGGATGCCCTTTTCCCCAGACACGGGAAAGCCACGCACAGCCATACGTGGGCGGGCGAACCCGCATGGCTCGGGGTCCGTGGAGACGCCACTCTCCAAACACCTGCTTTCACAGGTGCCCCCTGCGGGGTAATCACGCTCTAATTTCACACGCGGGTCAAACAGAATCGGACTGCACGCATGCTAAATATAACTTTTGGCATCGTCTCAAGATGGCCTAGTTGTTGGTATTGGTTTCACTGCATAATCAAACCGATTGATCTGATTTGGGTGAGGAGTGGGTGGACATAGTTGATTATTGTTGGCACAGCTTCACACCTCAGCTTACAAGCCTTCTGTCCACTTAGAGCTTAGCTCGTAGCTCTCTTCTGTGAGATGACTGCTGCATAAGCGGGATCTCAATCTTGATGGGAGCCCAGTGCTTTCTATGCACGGCAATGATTCACTTTGCTAGTCGCTGCACGTCTCGCAGATCGCAGGTACTACCCGGTGGTTGTGGCACCCAACTGCGCAACAACGATCTCACCCATCCACGAAACAAGTCGAGAACAACAACAAGAACGAAGCACGCTGCGGCATTCCCTCGCAGGAAGATGACGAGACGGAAATGCTTGCTTTGCGTTATGTGACGTCAGAGCTTCAATGTTGCCAACATTAGCACCATTTACACTAGGAGGCGACTGGAGCAGTTTAAAATTCATTTACTTATGCAGAGGGGCATATAAAATTCGGATATTGCATGGATGATGCGTTTCGATGCAATAACAATGATATTCAATTGTTTTCTCGAACACAAAATTGGACTGGAGAATCCCCTTAACATACTTCTGTATATAGAATCATTGATATATCAAACTATTTTTGATCCCCTTTGAATTCGACATATCCAGGTTCGACTTAAGTAACTGGCCTGGCACCTCAAAACAGGCACCACAAACAAGATGCCCGTTGGTGCCAGTGGTCCTGACCAGCTGTTAAAGTTTCAGAACTATCTGTTATCTTATTCAACTGTTATGGACCAACACGCAGCCCTGACATCACGCCGCTGTAGTGGCACTGCTATTGGCAGGGCACATGCGCAAACGCTCCACTTCACGCAAATCTAGTTTCTGTGCACACACAGTTCCTGCACCTCGTGCAAGAACTGCGCGTTTGCTCACAGCTCGTGGGGGCTTGTTTGTAAACAGCGCGCTGGCCTTTAGACCGACACGCGGGCTTGGCGTCACAGAGCTGCGGCGGCGCTGCAATCGCGCTCAAGCCGGGTGGTGTGCGCAGAAGGGCGCACGTTTCACATGGACATCATAGCATTCCAGCATGCCGCAAAGCTGTGTAGCCGATTGCACCGAAAGGTACAGAAAAGGTGGCGGAGTGAGTTTCCACAAGTTTTCAACGAACCCTGAAAGGCGTAGAAGGTGGATAATATTTGTGGATCTAAAAGAATGGTCGCCTCGTGTGAACGATTGTTTGTGCAGCAAGCACTTTTTGGAAGATTAGTGTCCGTCCTGAGGCTATCTCTGTCCTGAGGCTCGCTTATGTGCAGGAAAACCGTTGTCTGATTGAGAACACCCGGATTTTGTTCCCACGGTGTTTGCACACAAAACACCGGCCAAGCGCTCGTCGGTGGCTTGCTACGCCCGTGCTACCAAGCGGAAGGAGATCGGCGACAGGACGGCAGTGTTGTAGGCGTTACCGAAAAAAAGTAACGAGATATGTTACTTGCAACTCGCAAATAAAAGGAACGCGTTACCGACCACATTTCTCAAAATAAAAGGAATGTGTTACCGTTATCAATAAAAAGCAATGCACGCTACTTTTGCATTACTTTTTTAATTATGATTTTACTCGTTTTACTGTTTTGACGGTACAGGTATGCGTAAGCTCATACTATTTCAAGAAACATTATAATCATGCAGAAACTGACCATAATTAATTTATCTCTTTTTAGAGTTTCACCTAAATACTCACGCGAAAAAATGCAAAGAAAAACGCAGAAAACTAAAGAATTCACATGGCATGACGCCTACAAACACAGAAAAAATTGAAGTGTAATTTCTTTAAGACTCGGGAAGAAGTAGTAACGAGCAACTTAACTATGTTACATGTTACTTGAAATAGTAATGCATGTACATTACCCGTTGCTGTTTTGAAAAAGTAACGAGTCGTTACTATGTTACTGAAAAAAGTAACCCATTACCATCAGCACTGCAGAACGGACAAAGTGTTACTGCTTTGTCCGTATATCAAACCTTGACTTCAAGACGCTGTGTGTATTTAATCAATTAATAAATATACTTCAGCAGACCCACAGTCTCCTGATCCCGCCGGCAGTGCGGAAAATGGCTCGAAATAATTGTAGGCCTCGAGGGACTTGCGCGCCTGCACCGTGTAGGCCGTGAGCTGGCTTGGCGAAAAAACTAAATAAACGACGACGTGAGCCGTCGACGTCGGTGACAACCACTTCACGTCGGAACTCCAGCAGGCCTTGTTTACGGCGTACGGATTGTCGAAGGCAACGCCGTCTACCCACAGTTTGTCTTGATACCATTGTTGCTCAGGCTTGGGTAGCGAGCTCAAATAAGTGGGCATAACGTACGACATACGTTGGCAGGAAATACTACGCACAAATAAAGCTAGCGTCTCTACAATGTCGACAACGAGCGCACGCCATAGAACGCAATAGCGAAAACACGGAGAGCCCCGCCACTTCTGCCTACATAGCTCCTGCACATGCGCGGCCTTCCGGCCAAGTTGGTAAACAGGGCCGTGTCGCGTGTTGGTCTATAAGTTATTTTCTAGGACTTTCAAGGGGAAAAATGTGGTTGACCAAGCCGAAGAATATACATGGAGCTGAATGGCATTAGCTACTGATAATGGGCCCATTTTCCTGCTAAAACGTTCATGAAATCACTTAAACTTTTAAATAAGATAACGGTTAGTTCTGAAACTGAATCACACGGTCTGGACCTCTGGCGCTACATCTGGACGGTGACCGAGTGTTTGGCAATGCATAGTTTATTTTTTTCAGAGATACACTGAATATGTATAATTTCATGTAGCTACAATAGCAGAGTAAAAATCTTGCCTGTATGTCTAGATCTAGATGCTCAATTTGCATACGACAGAATAAAGTATCCAGCTTCTGGAAAGATTGGCCTCACTCACGTGAACAAAGTCTCCATTAGGAGATGCAGGAGAGGCGTCAGAAGATGCCCCCTTCAAATCCAAGTCACCAAAGTCGATCTGTACAAGCAAAGAAAATCAGTGAATCAAGCTTCAGCAGAATACACCAAGCAAGGCCACTGAAACCTTATGTCCCAATATGGGAGCATGCCAGAGAACAAACATTTCAAAGATGCACGGACAAACTAATGCCACATGCATGTACTGGCGTTTGCACCAAGCAAATACAGCAGTTTGTTCCAAATATGAACAGTAATAACTGCCTTCATTTTTTATTCAATGATGGCGGAGGCTGGGGAAAAGCAAGTCACACATAGTTGTAACCTAATCGGTTCCCTCCCCCACTAAAGCTGCACGGTGGCACCGATACAACAATATTTCTTTTTCCTTCAAATAATGTTTTGTTATGCTAGTTTCAAGAAAAGTGGAAATATAAGAAGCAACCTGCAAATGCTCCGTTAGTCTACCTACCATATCGGTTTAATTAGGTCACTTTGTAACCTTCAAGGTAAACTCGCTCCTCACTTGGATAGCAGGGTTGAAGTCTAGAGAAAACAAAGTTAGTGCAGTGGGTTGGAGAACTTGGTCCCAGTAATGCTAACTGCATGATACATTTTCCATTTCCCTGGAGTTCTGTCTTCAAATTGTAAACCAATCTAAAATTAGATGAGCCACATTGTTCGCACACCCAATTGCATTAGCAGGGTTCAGACGTTTTAAGTGACGGGCCAGACAATCCGAGTTTCCACAACAATAGAAACTGCCCCTGTAACGGCCTAATAAAAGAAACGCGAATGAACAGAGTTTTTCCTTTGACTTTCATATATAACATGACATCTGTGGTGTGGTCTACAGCAACAACATGCTATCATATTTATGGCCCTTTTTCTGCACCATATAACCAGCCAAGTATGTCATAAGACTGAATTCAAACATTTTCACTGCAAAGACTGTAGTTACCGTATTTACTCAAGTAATAGCCGCACTATTTATGATCAAGGTCCTTGCGTCTGCTTTCCCGCAGAACACATATACAGCCAATCATTGCGTTGCGTATAAATAAGATAGCGAATAACTAGATCGAGAACACAATTCTCCATACAAATGCAATCTTCACAGATGGTATCTTCGCGCGAAGACGTTTATCTCTGTCCTGTAAACCGCTGGAATCATGCTGCCGATCGCGGAGATTGGCACGCCGCATGCACCACGGAAAAGCGAACACGCAGGTTTTCTTCTAAACAGTGCGGCTATTACTCAAGTAAATACAGTAAGCGATACTTGCGATTGACCTAATCCTCAGAGTCGATTGCCACATCAAACCATGAAAAGAAAATGCAAATGCGATGGGACACTATGTTAATGACACTATTAATGACAGCGGTGGCATGAGTGGGCAAGTACCCAAGTCAAGCATTTTTATAGCATCTAGAGTTACATACCAAAATTTAGCCCACCCTGAGGGCAATTCAGGCAGTTTGCCCTCCCTGAGGGGGGACAGAGGAGGAAGTAATCTGTCACAATACTACGTAGTACGGTGGTAGCATTTCAACAACACATAGCAATAACCAGAGCTACAATTAGGCTTCCATGTTTTCGGTAAATACTACCGATAAACCCCAGAAATTAACCTTCGAGCTGGTTTCACAGAAAACTAGAAAAACCGAAAAGCCCCAAATTAGAGCTGTTTTTGAACAGAAAAAAATCCAAGTTTCATGGGCAGAAAATTTGTATCTACAGTTTTACTTTGTGCTAAACCGGAACACATTCCCCACTTGACTATCCGCGAGGCTGTCCTTCCGAACCATCCTCCCTGTCGCATTTTTTTCTCTCGTCTATATCCTATTTCCCTCGACATAAGCCCCAATGATCACAGATTTTTCGTCAGACACAGAAAATCAACACAAAAAAACACAGTTTGTGCAAAAAAATAAACTCTAAAAAAAACACCCCCAAATTTCAAGAAAAAACGAACCCCAAAAATGCACAACCCTAGTTATAATACCGTACATTGACTCACTGAAACCCATAAAGTAAACAAAGGTATTTGGGAAGATGGTGAACTGAGGCATGAGCGGCACAAACAATAACTCGTAAAGCGAAATGGCGAGCCTTGCCTGGTCGTCCCCATTGCCGTTGTCCACGTCCACAGGGAGTATGGGCAGCGTCTCCTCCACCACCTCGGGCGGCTCCCCGTGCCTCCACTCGTACGTGCTCGTGTTGCCGTGCGACACCAGGTACTGCATCATGGGGAGCACCTCGGGCAAGGCCTTGCCTTCGCTGCGGGCAGAGGTCCCGTCAGGAAACCACCCGGACAACCCCACGAAAAATGTGTCTGCCTCGAGGTCGCGCATGGGTGGCCGACGAGAAATTTGTTAAGAGTGGATGATTTCTTGAGTGATTTCCTACGACGGGGCTCGAAATCCCGTGAAGATTCGGCCCTTGATAGGGAATCGTTAAGACAAATGTTTCTACGCGTAATGAAGTGTGCAGAAGCTGGTAGGCAGCCACCAACACCAAAATCAAAACTTCCGGGAATCTGAGAAAAGACAAAAATGGAATATGATAGTTTGGCCATACTCAAAAGAGTATGCTCCTTGTTGCTCCCACAGTATCTACCATGTGACATCGAAAAGAACGGGAGAGAAAGAGTGGAGTAGTTTCACTCTGGCCCTCACCCGCTCAACTGCGTTGCCTCCAAAATCTGCCACAGCCAGATTTCTACAACCAGTTCCCAGAATTCCTTTCAGTTACCAAATAGGGCATTCCATATTTTGCAACAGGTCTATTGCGAGACAGTGAAATATCTTAAGTGCATTTCCGTTCTCTCCTACGATTGGTTATTTTTATGCTTAGCTGATTTGTGGGCAAGGAACCATCTCTTCAGATGAGAACTTGATCAATATTGTCTGAGAAACCTCTGCTATGAGTAAAGCCATATATCAAGGGTATCAAAACACTCTCTCATGACTCGAAAAAATGTAAAGTTACATTTTGTGATATTGTTTTATAACTGGATAAAGATAAAAAAATTAAGGGATTATGTTGCAAGAGAATGCTGCATAGAGAAAGTTTCACTCAGTTATCAACGCTGTCCTTTCTTTTTCTTTGTTTTTTTTTTGCCTAGTAAATTGCTTCATTCCTTCGACCAAACTGAGGCACATCGCTGAGGCACATCCCTCAGCACCCCCCCCCCCCCCCCCCCCCCCCCCCATGTTTTCAAGTTCAGCAAAAATGCCAAGCGGCTAAAGCGGAAATAAGTCCCGGAGCAGGACACAATCATAATAATGAAACTAACCAACACATTCGTCGACATTCATTCGAACAACAAAATTGACAAAGACGGTGTGATTTGCAAGTCGGGCAGCTCGGGGCGTTATGGGAGCAGGCTGCGTAGATCGCCGACACATTCAAAATCAAGATTTGTTGACATTCATCCCCAACTCGGGAGAATAGACCCTCTGCAAAGATCACAAACATCCACTGCATCTACCACATGACACCGAGGAGGGCGAGAGAGAAATTGGGCAGCACAGCCACTGGCGTGCATTCGCCCGCTCGTCCACGTTTTCTCCGTCGACCCCGCCGTCTGCTACAAGCAATTTTGCAACTAGATTTCCCGGCATTCCTTTCGGTGCCGCGGATGGTACCGCACCTCTCGTAACAATGGGTCTATTGGCGTTGCATAGTCCCCGATTCCCCACAAAGTTGCTTTGCCCCGAACCCCTTCCCCTTGGAACGAATGCTGCTCGGTCCCTCACCCGTCGGGTAGAGTGAACCCAAGGAAGAGCCTGTAGAGCTGGACCGCTGGCTCTGCCTTGTGCAGCGCCTCCACCACGCTGCCAAACAGACCTGGGAGCTCCTCCAGCAGCAGCAGCAGCTCTTTCTTGACACACTCCCCCTGCCGTGGCAAACAACAACCATCAGCTTCCGTCTCCTTGAAGCCTCGCACTCAAGTCTCCGGCATTTTCTTCATAGTCCCCGATCTACCTCAAAATTTGCTAATCACACCAACAAACATCACCGAAATAGAAACCCAAATATTGGGCCAAAATAAACAATCTTCTCAAAATTATTGATTTACAAGTTTTGTCCTCATTACATTTTTTAAAGTGAAAGTCTCTACAGGCAACAATGAAAAAGTGACGTCAGTAGAAGGCAGGTGTTCACTCCTCGGACTGTAGACTTTGTTCCCAACTGATTCCAAATGAATGCTTTGGAAGCTGGCTCCAGCACCCATGCAACAGCATGAAACAAATGTTCTGGATAGTCCATTTATATAGTACATTTTTAGACTGCCCGCTCGACCTGCAAACCCGCCTTCCCCTGAGGGGAGGTCACGTCACTGCAAAGCGCAAGCATATTTGAATGTTGGTTCTGGCATCATCTTCACTTGCCGATTTCACCAAAACTATTTTAAATTTCACGATACTAAATAGCATACCAAAAAGGGTAAAGGACAGTGATTACAAAAAGATAGCTTGTTGGGGTGGCTATAAAAATCGCCAAAGTACCCTTTTAGGGCCAGTTTACATGTGCGTCTCATCATTGAAATAATCCAAAGTCAGTGCTGCATGAGCACTAACTCAGTGCAAAGTTAGCGCTGCATTGTATGCACAATGGAGAAGAAGGAGTCACATGCAGTGGAGCGCTGATATAATGCGAAGTCAGCTATGTGTTTAGAGCACAGAGTTAGCACTGAGGTTTATGCGTGGAGAGGCCCTTAACCTCCTATCCTTTCTACAAAACAAAGGCACTATGCCTGACCAAGGAAGTCACTTACTATTTCTTGCGCAAGGCAAGTGACATACCTGAAGATCGAAACAGATTGCTATATGTACATATACTCTCTATCACAAACATCTGCGGTGCTGACAAAGGCACAGGCCCGAGCATGTGTCTTCGAAAAGCACCTTCGATGTGCAAACTCTCGTACAAACGAAGCATATTCCTGAGCTAGGCTCGAGTGCCTCTTCCTTCGTCTGCACTGCAGAGATACGCGAGGTGGAGCTTACAATCCAGTGGACTACGCAGACCATCGAGTTTTACAATCGGGACAAATAAGAGAAAAATGTTCAAGGTATCTAGTGAGCAATTCCTTGGAAAACACTAAAGGAAATTCTGAAGAAACTTCCCCAGCTTATAATGGAATGTTTATTTTCATTTCACTTAGAACAGATTAAGATTTCCACCACTAAGGTCCTTCAGTTCGAACAAAAATATTAAAACACCAAAGAAGTTATGCTAAAGAAGTTTTCTTCATGCAGTGCCATGCCAGATATTTGCAAAGATTCAATAAAAAGAAGTTGCTAAAAAACTGTTAAGAACAAATGCCCTTCTTGATTCCGAAAATTATTTCCAAGACCATTTTTACATCCTTAGTGGCAACATACCTTGATGCATGTCGTACCATGCCCGTAAAGAGTGAAACAAATATTAAATATTAAAATATTCAATGATTAAAACTATCCAGGGGAGGAGGAGGACAATGCTTGTGAGACAAGCAGTGTAAGTGGTGCTGGTACAAAGAAGGATGGAAGCAGCCGTGACAAAGCTATATTAAGAGTTCCCAAGCCCCAGCAGTTTCGAGAATCCCACTTCCCAAGCAGTCAAAACCTGTTAAAGCCTGTTCACACTCTTGCGACCGAGTAAGACCGAGAGAAACCAGACCGATTTTTAAGCCTCTTGCGACGTCTTAGGACCGGATGCGCTGCAGCAGAGCTGGTCCTAAGACGTTGTAAGACGCTTAAAAACCGGTCTTGTCTCGCTCGGTCTTACTCGGTCGCAAGAGTGTGAACGGGCCTTTAGGGGCCAACTTGATGCAGTCAGCAATAACTACCATCTCAGCTAATCTCTGACATCATCACATTCCCACTGACTAAACACCATTCCCCTCCACTTCCCCTAAAATCTCTGCAGTCATCTTAGGGCCCATTCACACTCTTGCAACCGAGTACAACCGAGAGAGACGAGACCTGTTCAAACCTCTTAAAATTTCTTAACACGAGCATACACACTGGCATGCTGGCGCCATCTATGCAGTGACCCTGGAACTGCATTTCACAAGAGCGAAGGTTTTGCGGGATTCCCGAGGTCAAATGTGCGTAATACCTATAAGAAAGGCTCGTTTATAACGTTGAAAAAAGGTTTTTCGAACCAAGAAAGAAAGGATAATGCGTGAGAGAAATAGAAAATATGTCTGGCCGCCAAGTTTACACTGCTACCCAATAGATGGCACCGGTGTGTCCTATTGTTGTAAGAGGTTTCAAGGTATTCAGTTCTAAAAGGTGGCAAAAGTTTGAACGGACCTTTAAAGTTCGCCAGGTTGGGAAACATTAATGCATCTTTCAGGCCCCTCTTCATAGTTACCATATTGTCTCACTCCTTAAAAGGACACTGACACTTCCAAAATTTGTTTTAAGTTTCTGCCAGGCGATTTATTATGGCGCCAGAAGATTACCCAATCAATATTTCGCTACAGTGTCACATATATTTTTAATAAAGTCAAAAAACGCAACTGCTCAAAACCGTAACTGGAGTCGGGAGGAAGAAGAAATATAGAGGATGAGAAAATTACCGAAAATCACATGGCTGTGCAACTTTTTTTTTTTTTTTCAATCAAGATATTTGCAGCATTTTAGAACCCACAAAAGATGGGTATCATATTTTTGTCTATTTTTAGTATTGGGTGTGTGCCTTCGATGGCCCACGACTTTGATTATCTTTGGTGGTTGTGTCTAAACCTTAGAAAATGTGACGTGACCACAAAAAAGAGAGTGAGTGCTACTCAAACTGGCCAAATCTTGATTGGTGGTTTTGACGCAAAAAGAAAACGAATTTTAAGCCGCAAATTGTGTTCCGGATAGTTAGGCTCTCATATGTCATGTACAAATAAAAATCTTGGCGAGCCTAAATACCTTATGTATTTAGGCTCGCCAAGATTTTTATGTACTTAGGCTCACCAAAATATGTACTTTGCACGAATATTGCTTAGAATGAACCCCTATAAAGAATCTGTTAGATTTTCTCCCCACACAATGGTAGCTGCAGAAGGAAATGACGAAATCCGAGCAGCGTTCGCCCCCTCATCTCGCAGCCAGAACAAGAGGCCCAGTGATCTGGAGCCGACTATATGCCACCAATGTTTATCATAACCATGCGCTGGATTTGGCAGAGCACAAAAGACGCTATGAGTTCCAGACACTGTTGTGGTTAAACTACCGTCGTCATTGCAGCGATTGGAAACCAAACCCAAATGCTTATCGAGCTATCAATTACTACAAGCTCAAATCGAGTGCCCACGCAATGCTCGGGTCCAATCTATAAGCTGCATTCAAGTGTCCTCACTGGGGGACTGTACCGACACTGCGACCACCAAGTTTCTGCAAACAGAAGATTAAAAGAAAACGCTAGCTTTTATCCTTAAAATGACACCGCAACAAAGAGTCTGTGGCATTCCGAGCGAGTATGCTCAGGTCCCACTAGTGCCAATGAGCTTTTATAAAGTAAGAAAAGATACCAACCGAACGTTTAAAGTTTATGAAATTCCAGTTTTTGTGCAAATATTCAAAATTTTCAATAGTGGTTTTAAACACTACAGTATTGTAACATCCCTAGAGATGACCCACCCCCAAAAAAGATAACCCGCCCCCTATTTCTGGCACGATTTTCTATTTTTTTTTAAAGCGCGGAAAGATTCTTTTAGTAATTGCAGGGCCCCGGCCAATGGTTACCTCGGCAGGCATGGTGTTACTTAGCCACGGCAGGCGATAAGCGAACATTGCTGACTGGGAAGGACAGTCACCTTTGGTTCATTGCCCCTCCCTGCGATTAAAAGTTTTAGATTAAAAATGCTAGCTTTAGATTAAAAATCTAGAACTAGCATTTTTTCAACTTCCTTTTTTGTGGCACGCCGAAAGTTAGCTTACTCCTTATTTTCACCCGATTTGCTTTCGATTTTAGGGGGACTATCTTTCGGGAGATTACGGTATCCAATATTCACATCGAGATGAACTGAAATATTATCATCATCTTGTAAACCCTGAGATGGGGAACGATAAAAAAACGGACGAACACAACAAAATCTCATTAATGTTTTTCAAAGTGTCATCAGGCTCACGCAGCCAGCGGCATTCATGGAAACCTCGGTAGAGGCCGCCAAGAGTCAGGATGACGTCACGATGACGTCAGATAGGTCGATCACCCACTCCGGCAACTAGGACAGGTACAGCCGTTAACATCCATTTTCCCTCGGGGCACTCTTTCTGCGGTCAAGCGTAGGGTTCTTGTTTCCACCGCCTCAAAATATGGCGTTACGATCGACATTGCCACCGGGCCGGTGGCCATGGCAATGGCAACAATGCAACCGGTGTTATCGGTGCAACGGTCGCCGACAGCCGATGAGCATGATTGTCAGCTCCAAGTGTTCTCCGGAAAACGTGGTGTTCGCTCGGTCCACGCTAATTTGACTTGGAAAGTTCTGGTGCTCTCGGAAGAGAATACCTTGGCGCTACTGCGCTGCGAAATGGTGCGGGAACTCCAGCAAGTCGAAAGTCTTGAAAGGTGTTCCGAAGTGAGAGGTAAAGTTTTGTTTTTTGTCGCTTTTGTTTCAAGCCCGCGCGGCAGAAACGCCATGAACACAGCACTTAGCACACGTCTGTTTTCGTTTTTACTAACGTATGAGCAACATTGCAGCTGAAATTTGCAGGCAGATAGATCCGTACCAGGTGCTAAGCGCACAGGATGACACAGGCATTTTTGGTGGCGTTTTTTTGCTCACAGACCCTTGCCTTACTTTTGTGAGCAAGCTTGAGAGTGCTTTCTGGCATGCATTCTCAATCTGGTATACAGGGATGATGTGATGAAGAATCTTAGTGCTTTCATGACAGAACAGTCGGAGACCTCCTCTGTCCAGCAATCAGGTAGAAGTTCCTCCAGATGTTCTGCTATGAACCTTGGTGAATTTACGCCTTTTAAAAGAAGAGATCTGCTAAAACCTCATTTGAAAAGGTCTGCAGCTGATAGGAGAGCACAGAAACCGTAAAACAAGTCATATATCAGCTGAGTAACAAAAAAAAATCATATTTTTTGTCTACGAAACATTGAAGTTTCTGCTGGTCAAAACTGTGGTGGTGCAATGTCTTTTATAAATGTATATTTCTTTCATTGTGCTCTTTTTTTGCTTCTCGTGCTATCTGTTCTATTGTTCCGTAAATTTTATTATCTGTATTTATCTTTATTTATAATAAAAAATGTATGAAAAGTAAATGTGTGCTCCTTGCCTTCTACCCACTTGAGGAGCAGCTTCTCTGAAGTTGCGCTACAGTGGTTTATGAAAAAAGATATAAAATAAAAGCCCCAAAAGACGACAATGAAATCAACGAGAAATGGAATGAAGAAAGCAAAGCGGGAAGGGGGGGGGGGGGGGGGCAGCGAACGGGGGCGAACCGGCCGCCTGGGACGCGACAGGACAACTTGCGCCATCTAGGGGCAAGTAGGGGCGGCCCGGTAAAGGCGGCGATTGCAACACCGTGTTTTGAGGCGGCGGAAACAACCGTACGCTTGAGCACAGAAAGAGCGCCCCGAAGGAACATGGATGTTAACGGCTGCACCCGTCCTAGTTGCCGGAGTGGGTGATCAACATATTTGACAATCCGTGACGTCACCCTACTTTTCTCTTTTTTTTCGCTCACCGCTCGCTCTTTTCTCGCTTCTTCGCTCGCTCGGGCGCCCGGAGCGCGTTACAATATTCAAGGCTACGGCTGCGCCGGCCTGGTGTCATCACGACGGGTAAGCCCCGTTGAGCGCGCTTCTTACCGAGCATGGGTGCACTGCAGAGAAGCAAAACCCGCAAAAGCAAGCTCCGAGCATGATGCTTCTCCGCATTGCACCGGTGCTCGGTAAGGAGCACATTCAACGGGATTACCCGCCGCAATCAACACTTGGGAGAGTATGAACATCGCAACTGCGTGCTTCGGTGAAAGCGCACTTTCAAACTGGAATGGTGCATACACGCGCTTAGTCCATTAGAAAAGAAACAAAAACTTTGTGAATTTCGACATCTGCATCGCAGCAAACTTTCCTAAATGTGGCTGTTCTGCAAGAGTTAATTGGCGATTTTTTTTTTCTTGTTTTATTTGAGATTGAAGAAAGAATATTTGCTTATAGCAAGCAAATCCACTCAAGTCTGCTGGGTATGTCTATAGATTTCATTTTATGTCAAATCCGTCGTCTTCTTGCCATCCCAAGGCATAGGACTTTCTGAGGTCACAGTCCAGAAACAAATTTAGATAAAAACTAGCTTATAAGTGCAAAACTGGAAGCTTGGGAACAACCTTCATGGGTTTAGCTGGGTTTTCGTTCAAATATGATGCAACAGTAGTGAAAGGCTTAGAGAAACTATTCAATATTCAATTAAAAAAATATTTGGCCAAAACCACTATTTACTGCAAATTTGCTCCAAACTCAAAATATACCATTCACGCATGAAAATAGAATTCCTTGAGACTTTAGGAATCGTATAATATGTCATATGCACCGCAGATAACTATGATTTTCTTTTTTTTTTTTTTTGTTCTCGCAACAGTAACGTCCCTTTATACGAAAATAATTTTCTAATATATCCAGGCCTTGTATGATTCCTTCTGTCAAAATCGACAGATTGCAATGAAGATGCACAAGAACACAAACCTTGATGCCAAGCTGTTTGCACTCCAACTTGTATCGGTCCTTCAAGTCCTGAGCATGCTTGCCATAGTCAGCTTCCTTCTTGATGGTTTCCTGACGACAGACATCAAGAAACACCATGACCACTGTCCCTCCTGAGCTGCCACGAGACCAGCCAGTGAAATGTGAATCACCCCAAATGTGCAAGATATGTCCACATACCTCTTGCACTTGTTGGCACTTGAGAATCTGCCTCTTGAGAGCAGGAACCTCATAGTTCACAGTTCGAATGAGCATCTGAGCTGCCTCCGCTGGAAAATGCAGGGAAACGAACAACTCAGTTTAAGATTCCAGTCCCAGAATCAAATTGCAAACTCACAATCTAAGGATAAAAAAAAATCCAAAGCTGATAGTTGTCTCATATAAAACTTCAATGTGTAAACTGAAGCGACATAAAAATTTGCACCCATCTCAAATAAAGAATGGAGTTTGATTTCAAGGATCCTTATACGGTAGAATCTCGACGATACTATCACAGTAGATCCAAATTGCGGGATGGTAAGTATTTTTTAGAAACACCAGCCGAAAAGTTTTATTTTTATTGTGTTACATTTCGAGATAGTGTGAATAATCTCTCGGACCACGGCAGACAATAAGACAAAAGCGCCAACCTTCAGGAGGTTAAATTCCTCCATTTTAAAAATATTAAGGGACGTTGAGGTAAACAACATTGCGGCACTTTCCGCCACTCAGGTGGCTGTAAAGGTATTTTAAGAAAGGAGACCTTGAGATTCCCTTCTACTCTCGCTCATCTCACATTCCATTAATAAGTCATCAACAACCCCTTTGTGCAGCCACAGTAGACACGGCCAGCCGCTGAATTAAAAAATTCTTGAGGCTTTAAAAAACCTCAAGAATTCTTGTAAAAAGTGGACCGATTTTGGAGGTAGAGCAATACCAGCGGTATTGCACTACCTCCAAAATCGGTCCACTTTTTAAAGAAAATTCTTCAGGTATTTTTCTATTTTAGCCTTAGACGTGGCTAAAGGGCCATGGATAGAGCTAGCCATAGCTCTCTAGCCATGGCCCTAGCTGTGGCTGTCTAGTCGTGGCCCTGTGTCAGTTGCAATTTCTCACGTCGCAGCGGCTGGCCGTGTCTACTGTGGCTGCACGATTAAAGCAAGTTTCTCACCGGGTATGTCTACCTATCTTTTTATCTTATGAAGCCCAAATTGAATAACAAGATTTCCGGATGACAAAAATGTTTTCGGCAACCCTGAGAGATTCGTATCTTCGAGATTCTACTGCATTGCCCCATTTTACATATTTTCATAAAAATCAATGAAGCTTGAGTTTCCTTAAATGGTCATATTTTATCTATCAGCAGAATTTAGGGTTTCATTTGCTGCCTCCCTTTGGAACCCAGTTTCAGATAGCCCTTCCCGTCTGGACTAATTTTTGGGCTCTTAAGTAGTAACTCTTCCCGTACCACGCCCATTGGCCATCGATCAACCATAATCGACAGATTCAACGCATTGCCAAAATTCAAATTTGACGTGCAGAACCCTGTTGCGCCATCTCGTGGATAGCCAAAGAACTTCAGCTTTGATTTCGATTTTGTTTTGAGCTTCCTCTCCAGCTGGTCGGCTATTAGAAAAATCTCTACATGATGGAGGTGCTTGTCAAACATTGCGTTTCACTGACATTGGGGACCGCTAGAAAAATACCCTGAAATGCACGATTTAACTGCTTTTACTGCTTGTTATTTGGATGAGAGCAGCGGCGAGGACTGTGGCTGATGTTGGTTCATTTAAGAGCTCCTACAGTGATGCTTCACCTCCGAGGTGAAGGATATCGACAGGTGCTCGTTGGAGAGCGTCATTCTAGCTTTCTAGGATTGTCGTGAGCCGGTGTACACATTTTATGTGTGCCGTAAGTCATAAAAACGCCAAAAGAGGTAAAGTTAGAGCACCGCTGTAACAAACCAAGGTTTTGTGCAAAACACTGTGCGACAATCACATGACGTGATGCGTTTAGACAGCGACACCAAGGTCGTGACGTGTTTTCCCACTAAATTTAATGTGGAAACTGAATTGGTGCATAGGTAATGTGACAAAAATTTTCCAGCCAAATTTAGCGGGGAAACTGAACTGGTGCAAGGTCACGTGAGGTAAATTTTTCTACTAAATTTAGCGGAGAAAGTGGATTGGCTCATAAGTCACGTAATGTAAATCTTTCTGCTAAATTTAGCCGGGAACCTGTATTTGTCTGCGGGTCGCGTGACATCAGGTCACGCAACATCAATTTTCCAGCTAAATTTAGCAAGGTAACTACATTGGTGCTTAGGTCACGTGACAAAAAATTTTCCCCTAAATCTAGAGCCTAACCTGTATTTGTTTGTAAAGCCCATGACGTCAAGTCACATGACACCAATTTCTGTCACCAAATTTATTGGGGGAAACTAAATTGGTGCATAAATCATGCGATGTCCCTTTTTCCGCTAAATTTAGCGGAGAAACTGAAATTGTTTACGCTCATGCCATCACGAAACCAGGGGGAGGGACCATGAACAGCTGTTGCTGTAAAACAAAGGTGTTCTGGGGCCCTAAGCTACACGGCGGGACCAAGCACGACCAAGGGACCGGAACGTCCCCGCAGAAGGCGATTGGTCAGTGGCATGACGCTGACCAACCGCAGCAGGCGGCCATGTCCTGGTCCCTTTGTCCCACTTGGTCCCACTGTGTAGCTTGGGGCCCCTGGAGAACATGCACCTCCACATACAACAGCGTCTCTGAATGGCATGACGCCACGAAAGCCCACTCACCGACAGATTAAAAAAAGACAGTATTAGCTAGAGCAGTGATTCTCAAATGGGGGTCCGCGGACCCTTTGGGGCCCGCGAGGGCATTATGGGGGTCAAGCCTGGCAATAAATCTTTTTTTTTCAAATTGAAAACAAATGTTCCAATTTTCGGGCGAGTTTTCTCGTGTGTATGTCAATGGGAGAAGTCATACAGCCCTTAGTTATATGCATTTATTAAATCATTTTCATAATTAACCTATACCTTTCCCTTCCCCTCACCACGAGCGGGGTCCTCCATTATCTCTGCCGATCTACAAGGGATCTGCGAAACATCAATGGTTGAGAACCCCTGAGCGAGAGCTTCCTAAATATAGAAGCTAGAGTGGTGTACATGGAACACACTTTGTACATTTAGGGTTTTTAAAAACCGCAGTATGATTTAATACAGCTGCAAACAAACTTCTTGCTCTCATTCTTGCACAGATCTAAAGTTAAGCAATTAAATTTGACTATTTCCAGATATCAGTATAAAAAAATTTTTTTCTAAAGATCAGTCTATTGGCTACAACTTGATGTATAATAATCAACCATACGCTGAGTAGTTCTTAAAACAATTAAAAATGTCCATCACTCAAAACAGTCACCACTTTTCTCCGTGGTACGGAAAGAGTTAACCGCATGGTTTCTGTTCTTCACAGAATACAAACATTAGGTCTGAGTATATTTCTTCCCTCGTCAACTTTTTAGGGCATTTTTCAGTTATGCCATGCTTGTTTTTCTCCCCCAATTTCTCCAGCGAGAAAGGCCACAGAGTCGGTGCAACCTATCAAACTGAGCCGTTCCTGTTTACCGAAGACACAGGTCTGAAAGGGAACTGAAAAACTTTTCTATACAATTTCTATGCCAAACGAGTGATGGAGGGAAATCTATAATTATTTTCAACAAAAGTTGCAGACAACAATTCCAAAATTTCAGAAAGTGAGCTGAGCTCCTTTCCCAGTCCTTGGCCATGTTTTGTATTTAAGTATTGCACTTTTTATTCCAGACACAATATTAATTATTTTCGGCTGACAGTGCAACAAGGGCTCCAAGGCAAGCACCAGAGCGTTGCAAACTGCTTCTGCCGCAGAAGCCCTGGCACCACACAGACAGATCCAAGGGAAGAAGCATGCCCTCGTGGTTTCTGCTGCACCATCAGCTCAAGATGAAAAATAGCTGTAGACTTTGTTGAATCGTTACACTGGAGGAAGAGCTGCGAGCACAAGCTTAGGTGCATAGGGGCAGGGGCCCATCCATGCTTGGAAGTGTGACTGCAAGAGATGCAATCTTTGCATTTTACCCTTGCTGAAGTGCCAGCTTTGGCAGGGCTTTCTTCTACAAATGCTGCATATGACGATAATTGCACCATCAAGGCTCATAATCCGTGCTAAGTTAATCCATGTAACAACACCACGAAGTAACACACAATATATGTTCCGTGTTACCACTGCTCTTTGCTACATTTGAGGTGAACTTGGTTTTGCATAGTCTCCATTTATCAAGTTTTGGCTGTATATGCAGCATACTATATAGTATAGATGAACACAACTCAAACTTTCCAGAAATTTTAGTGTTTCTTATGCAGCATATTATTTTGTTGGAACCTCTGCTACTGTATATAGTATAACGCCTTCAAACAGCGGCAGTTTGAAATGTTTTGCTTCTTTTACTTTTTCCTTATAAAAATTTACACCCCTGTTACAGCCCAGATGTGCTAACAGTATAAATAAGTAAGTAAATAAACATGACATTCCTTGAACTACACACACAAGGTCATTTCCAATCAGAGGTGTACCAAGCGCAGTAATGTAAAAAATTATAAGTGGTCAGTTGTCCATGCATGTGTCTCCTGGAAAAAAACTGTACATTACACCGAAGAAACATGCCATGTTCTTGACTACAGTCGAAAGAGTGGACCCTCACCAAGGTACACATTGTCCTTCTCGTAGAGACGAAGTATCTCGAGCCAGTCCTTCATGCGCTGCGAAGAGTAGCGGCCAAAGAGGTTCTTGGTGCTGGCCTCTGTGTCCCGCAAGATCTCCACAATCCGTTGGCAGTGGAAGTAGTGGATGTCTGCAATCACGACGCACCGACCGGTGAGCCAGCACAAGTAATCAAACGGAACTCATTTCCTATACAAGTGGCATGTTTGTGCACCTCACAGGAGTAATTCCATACATACAGTAGTAAAAATACATGAGGCTGTGATTTCTACCATAATATTATTGCCAGTGGAGGTATGAGATAGAGCAACGTCTTTTACATTTCTTTTGCCTAGGTTTCAGCACTCAACTAGTGGGAGCTGAAACCTGCATCCTCACTTTATGTCACGTACAGCATGGGTCTATGTATCTCCGATGCAGAAAAAGCCAAACAAATATTGTTTTGGTTCGACATTGCTCTGGCACAATAATAACCTTGTAGCATATACTAACCAAGTCATAGCTAGACTTTCCGGTTTTAACCGAAAAACACCAACAAACATCTGTCGGTTCCAAAAACAAAAAATTGGATTTAGCCGAAAAGGATTGAAAGGGAACCATTAACAACATAAGTCCAAAATTGGTTAAAGACCAAAAAACACAGACTTCTGAAAAAATTACTGCAGCTAGGACTGTTTATGTCTAAACCCGTCCCTCTTATTTTTTATTAAATATTTTCATCGATAATCACGGTTTTTAGCATCCTTCCGACAAAGACCACCAAAAGTGCCGATACGTGAAAAATGAATAAACCTCAAAACATATCCGCCGATTTTCCTTATAAATAAAAAACAAAAACAGAAACTCCATGGCCTACAGATAACTGCCTGTTTAAACGGAAAAAAACCAAACAAACCATACAAATAAAAATTCATGCACAAGGCAAGTTTGGGGGTTTACATGCCGAACCAACGAAGGGCATCTGGCATGCCCCAGCTAAGGAACGAGGATTTCGAACACCCGGGGGTATCTTGCCGTGAAATTAAAATTTCCATTACACACAACGCCTTTATTGCAATAATCCTAGCTCAAATTCACGAACAGATGTCATTCATCTTATTATACATATGATCTTGTTTTCAGGTGTTTTCTGACAGTCAGAGTGGCAGTTAGAGTTCACAGTATTTGCTCTAGCTCTGGACACTACACCCATCATTTTCAGCATATCATACGGCATTAATTACTGTAGAGCAAACACCATGAACGCACATTATTCGTGGCTTGCACATGACATCATTGCACCATACCGGGCGTCATGCCGACTTGTTCTAGCAGACAAAAACAAATTCAGTGGCCCGAAGTATATGCTGGCAAAGGTTTGCACACTGCAGCAAGGTACTCCACAATGACTGCTGATGGGAATTAAGTCATTGCAAGCCATGTGTCGTTAGTTCTGCCCAATATCAACAAGTATACTAACAAGTTCCGGAGAGCAGGTTGGTGATCTCTTCCACTTCGGGCATGTCCTGGATGGCGGCGTTGATCTTCTCCCTGACCACCAATGCCTTCGCCTGCCAGTCCTTGTTGCAGTGCCTCCGGCTAATCAGCCAATCTGGTGACAACAATCCCGCCGGACGCACCCATTAAAGAACCCAATGAACTTTGGAGTTTGGTACCTCCATCTCTGTTCAGGCTGGTGTGTGCGCAGTGATATGGAAGTAATGCTCTAGAATCTGACGCAACTCATCTGAAGCAAAACGCTTGCGTTGCAGTGCACATTAGAAGCCTCAACAAGTGCTCCACTATTATTTTGTTATTTATTCAAGCATAAATAAAACGTTAGAAAGTGCTGCACATTTCGTTGGTAGAAACTAAATCGTGTACGCGTAAGTGGATTTGTTTTTCTTTTTTTCCTGGTTTTGTACGTACCCAACAATTTGTTGGTTTGGATGTCAATCGGCAACAAGCTTTCGCCCTGGAAAGAGAAGTTCCCGCGCCACAATAAAAGTTTTACAAGGATAATCGCTTGCACTTGAAGATCCTGAACGTGTACCCGCTTCTATATTGCGAAATAAAACTAGAGAAGATGTACGCGAGAAAAACTTGATGAATGTGCATTTTGAATGCTGTTCCGCTAGCAGACTACAAAATGCCTAATACGCAGGTTTTTAACTACCAGCCAACGGCTGCTGAAGTTTCGGGGCTCTATGGCCGGTAATTTTGTTGTGAAAAGTGGTCGAGACATTACCTGCATGGTGTTCTTCTCGATATTTACCCAATCACGTTAGCATATGACACGATTTCACTTTCCGTCCAGAGAACACGCAAACAGATCGGACGTGTGCCTTTTACCCCACTGGACCTGACAAATCCTCAATGACTACAGATGCTTAAAAGAGGGCGCTACTGATCAGACACAATAATACGTAATATTAAACTACTTACAAATTGCAATTAAAAAAAAAAACACGCTAGTAAAGATAAACTGATGTGAGTGTATGTTGCACATAAACTGCTATCATTTGCTAGTGTCAGTGTCTTGAGCAAAAAGGCTCGACTACTCAGCTGGCTAAACAGCTGAGCCGTTTGTCGGATGAGATCACTAATTTCTATTGTCATAGAGATCCGTAAATAATATCGATGATATCGGATCAGTGTGTAAGATAGACAAGTGGGGAAATCTTGCACCCTGTATCGGATGTAGTCAGATGGTAGGACCCACCTATGGGACCCAGTGATGAGGAATTATAGTCGGTTACAAGTCAAGAAGGTAGGAGAAGCTCCTCCCAAAAGCGTGATGCGCCCGTTTCAAATTTCTCCGCAGTCGAAAGAAGAGTTCGCTGGAAACGCTCCTTGTTCCGCTTCAATGCATTCCCACTTGTCTCCGATCCCACTTTTTAAGAAAGCGACCTTTGTATTCATCGGGGAGGGAACCGAGCCCCTGAAAGCAGCCTTTGTATCCATCGGGGGGGAAGCTAATCCCCGAAAGTCGTATTTGTTTCCGTCGGTGGGGGAGAACTCTAATCTCCCTCTCGTGGCCTCCACAACGCTAAGTCGAAGTCGAAAGATAAAGCAAATATGTACAGAAAGGCAAGACCCTCCTCGCGCGTTGGTCGCGACGTCACGGAAACGATGGGACGCTATTGGATGCGGAGGTGGCGGAGGGATATGGAATTCCTTTTGAGGGGCATTTGCCGCTACCTTCTTAACCTGTAACCGACTATAAGACCCTAGATAGGTCGCAACCCGAGAGCGAGACTGATAGAGAAGGTACCATATCGCCACGTCATGCTTAGACCTGCACCCTGTCCCATGCCCATTAGTTGTAGGGAATGGTTTTTTTGAAGCCTTAAAATAAAACGAGACGTTTACAATCCTCTGTAATGTCGAATTAGAACGCAGCTCTTGAGGAGGAGGGGAGGGTATGTCTCTACTCTTTTCCCATTTAACGGTAAATTTTCACTGAACTTAGTGAGACTTTTCCTGTTAAATATTAGCACAGAAACTGAATTGGTGTCGAGGTCACGCGACCTCAATTTCCCATGTCCCATAACGCAACGCACAGCTACACTGACACCTACGCCGCTTAACTCGGAAACGGGCACCCAAAAGCTGCACCTACAAAAAAACACATCAATTACAGCTCCTAAATATTCAAAGCTGTGAGCACAGCACTGGAGCCAAAATGACGAACTTGAAACAGTTTATTTCTCTTCCACTTTATTCTGTGATCGGGGCATGTACAGATGACCTCTCCTACAAGCAACCCACCCGAGGCAGGTGCCAGCCAACAGTAGCTAAGTGCGCAATAAAAAAAATAAAAAAAAATTGAGAGGGTTTTTAGGATGGTGGCATGCTCAGAAGGCAAAGAGCAGCAGGAAGGCCATCATGAGACAGAAGAGGCCCATGGCCTCGGACAGGGCAAATCCCAGGATGGCATAGGAGAAAAGCTGCTGCTTCAGCGATGGGTTGCGGGCGTAGCCAATGATCAAACTGCCGAACACGCTTCCAATACCAGCTCCTGTAATGAAAAATTGGGAAAAAGGTCACTACACAATGAACCACACTCCAGGGCAGGCCAGTGAAAACCTTGGATGTACCAAATTGTATTGTGCACAAGTTTTCCACCATATCTTGGCAAGAAAATGCTATGCTCACTTTCAGCTCCAAAGAGTGGATGCTACAAGCCCAGCAGGTGCAGTTTCCCAGAGTTTTGTTGCTCACAAGATTGATTCCCCAGCTATAGCCAACAATAGTAAAATTTAATAAAAAAAAAAAAAAAAACCTTTTGTTGCTTCAAAAAACATTTAAAAAATCAAAAAAATCTTGCACCTACAAAGATCTAGGAAGAAAAACTAGTTAAGCACATGTTTTTTGGTGCAGCATTAACAGTGGGTTATAATCAGTCATGGGCACATTACCAGTAAAAAGTAACAGTGTTGTAGGTTTAAAAAGAGTCCCGTCCCCAAAGACAGGGGACAGGACAACACATCGTCCCGTCCAGTCTTTACGTATGTAACTCTTTCTTAACCTACATCATTACCAATGCGCTCACTAACAAGTATAACAGTGTTACAGTTACCAACTTAAGAAGCAACGTTACAGTTACTGCAAAAGTAGTAACGCAGTTACTTTCTCGTTACAGTATTAAATCTGGTCACGAGAAATCACAAACCAAAACAATATTATTTTATTTGTTACACTATAGTGAGACGAAAGGTAAACTGAGAAATTAGAAAATTTGAACTCTAAGGGTGTTTCTGTGTTGCGCGATTCGCCGTTTCAGCATTTTGATGTGCACAATTTATTTGCAATAATTGTGCACAACTTAGAATCTGCTGTTTTTTTTCAAAATTGTAATCTGCCCACGTCAGTGAACGTTTTCGTTTATTTTTCACTCCGACACGAATGCGGACACAGATGTTTGCATAATTACCTTATGGTACAGTGCTAATCACACTTGTCTATAACGCGCGAGCGTGCGGCTTTTTCCGGGAAGCACTAGACTGGTGGCATTCGCGGGAACTAGGCTAAGTCACGTGGCGCAGCATGGAACGGCCCGCTCGAGGGGTGTCCTGCCCACTCTATCAGCTGGCGGCGAACGCGAAAGGCTGCTCGCACGTTTTTACAAACATCATTGCTCGAACAATAAACACACTAAAGCGAGAAGGCGTATCGACAATGTCGTCATCAAAAAACAAAAATATATCATAAAGCACTTTACTTTTATCGCTTATCAAGCTGATAAAGTGGGCAGGACACCCCTCGAGCGGGCCGTTCCATGCTGCGCCACGTGACTCGCTTAGTTTCCGAAAAGGCCACCAGTGTAGCGCTCCCCGGAGAAAGCCGCACGCTCGCGCGTTATAGACAAGTGTGATTAGCACTGTACATACTCTGAAGCAGGCCTAAACAGATCAGGTCAAACAGTTTCGAAAGAATATAAGGGGAAAAGAGTGAGTGAGGCTTTCTGGAGCTCTACTTGTGTACAACAACCACCACGGCGTCTGTGTCCGAAACGCCAACTGTGGAAGACCAGCCCGCATACATGCATCAAAAATAGCTGTTTCTCTTACTTAAGGCACGCGTTTTCCTGGAAATCTCACTGCATAGATTCCACAACAAATTGTCCTTCCATTGGAGTGTTTCTTGAGGTTATCAAAGAACCTGCTTTCGTGTTTACTCCAGCGGCTCCCAAGAGAATAGGGAAGAGGAAACTGCAACCGGCTGGGTTTAAAAACGACAGCATGGACATATCCGACAAAGAGCAAGGGAGAGGATGTGCAGACAATATCACGTGACCACCGACATCCGCAGATGGTCCCCACAAGAGAAGAGTGAGCCAAAGTCAGTGAAACAGACATTGTTTGCCTTCCCTACCACCGTACGCACCGCCCTTTATTTCCCGGTTTTACGCCGACTCGTCCAACATCCATTCTCGGTCTTGGGCTAAACCAGGCAACTGTTTGTTTAATGCGTAGCCACGCTTCTCTTTTTTTTCTTTTTTTCAGCGAGGAGTTTTGAGGAAAATACTGAAAGCTGGCGATCTCACCATGTCTGTGGCAGTGGGTTCTAATTTTTATAAAAGAAAATGTGATGAAAACTTGCCTGACGAGTAAACAGTGATGATATGACCAAAAGCCCCACAATCTGCATAGGATGGTTCCAGCCAAATCTTAGAAGCTAGCAAAACAAAAATCCAGCCCCAGGCAAACAAGTTGCCAATTGTCCTCTCACAGGTCTTACTGAAGGTAGAAATTGACTTTGCCACTTCACGGCCCAAGCAACTGGCTGCCAGTCTTTCACGGATAGCAAACTTACCAGAGCCAGCCACCCCAACGGTAGCAGCACCAGCACCAATAAACTTGGCCGCAGAGTCAATGTCCCGCTGCACAGCACTGGTCTGGAAGCTTCGCACAGCCTGAAAACAGCAAGAATAAACCAATTTCACCTTTGACTTACGAATACCCCCATAGATGCAATCCAATAACTCCCGAATTCCCGGTTTAAAATTTTTTCAGTACAAAGTTGCATGAACATGACACGAGCGAGCGCGAACATTCATGGGAGCAAAAAAAAGCTAGATCCTGTTAGCTCTACTGAGCTAGTGTGACTTAGACTAAGCACCCAAAAGGTTGTTTATGTACCCATTGTGGGCAACATTTTGCCCCTAAGTTCATAGAAAGAAGCTTCTCTCCTATGCTTTCAAGTGGCACCCTTCCAGGGGGGTGCCAGTTCTTCGGAAGGCGACGATTTCCCGAGTCATTCCGTTAAAAATAAATATACAGTTGTATCTGAAGCTTAGTACTATGAGGTCCCCAGGAGGGAAGAAAATTCTCCCCAGGCATTCTAACAAACTTGTAAATGTAGACCCACCCATGGGCATGCATTCTTTGTGGTTTCCAAAAGGTTATCAGCATGCAGCCCCATTTTATCTGCTCGTTAAAACCACAGGAAACCGGAGAGCAAAATTCTTTTTCCACTGGCTATTTGATGCCAGGCACCTAAAGATAAGCTGCTGATTTGGCAGGCTTTCTGTAGCCACCGAGTGTTCCCAGGGCACACAGTATGTCTGGTCAGGATGAAATAAGGCCTGACAAAAGATTACTTAATATGCAATGAGACCAGATAAGCTAACCAATCTAAATCAGCCAACAAAAGAGATTAGCACCATGCCCCAGCCATTAGGCATTCCCAGAAAAAAGCTCTAGGCCTCTCGTTGACCCCTCTAAGACGCAAAAAAAATTCAAAGTGCCCGCCAGTACCCTGTGACGTAATAATGTACCGCAAGGTGTCCGAGCGGTCAGAAGGAAGGCATCGACCTACGTCCCTAAAAGAGGGCTCACCGGAAGTCACGAGAGATTCACTCCTCGTGTTCTCCATGACTGTGCCTAAGACTTTATTTATTTTGGTCTTCTCCACGAGCGATTGTAAAAAACAAAGTTTCAGTTCCACTGGCTTTTTATCGCTGCAACGTCGAGCATAAAGCATGAGTTTTTTCTAGAACATTAGTGGAACTTCTTTACTAGGTTCATTGACTCCACTTCTACCTTTGCAACAACATTAGGCGATGAAAAACAAATAAAAGAAACCTCGTCTCCTTGGACCGCTCACGGAAATGTAAAGAATAACAAAAATATGGAGTGAATTATTGCACGCAGGTCGCGGTAAGCCCGAGGAGTGATACAACTCATGTGACTTCCAGTGATGCCTCCCTTCTGACTGCCCCGACATCTTGTGGTACATTGTTACGTCACAATGCACTGGCGGCGGGCACTTTGAATTAGGCTCCGTATTTCTATTTTTTTATAAAAAAAAAAAAAATGCAACTCTAACGTGAAACAATTTTTTGGTGATGTCTTGACACACTATTTTAACGCCTAGCACAAAAAAAATTTTTCTTGCCATGTCAGGAGTTTTATAATTGTGGGGCCATTGTGATGTATGCTCTGCCTAAATTGCAAGCTTTTATACATCATTGAAGTAACATGATCCTCTTACCACAGAGTTAACACAAAGAAAGCACAACAAATACAAGGCTGAAATTTCTCCCATTCTGTTATTGTCATGCCTTTTTGTGATTGTAGCTTGCAAAATGCTATTCCGATGTACTATTCATTCACATACTTTTACGCATGATGGGCGTACTGCATATTTCCAGAATGGACTATTTTACATTCATATTAAAATAGTGCAAAAAAAGGCGAGACAAAAAGACAAAGAAGCACACAGGACAAGCGCTGCTTCTTTGTCTTTTTGTCTCGCCTTTTTTGCGCTATTTTAATATGAATCGATTACAAACTTGCCCAGCAGACCAAGCTTTTACAGGACTATTTTAGACCACTCAAGCAAATGTTTTCTAGTGTGGAGCAGTTTTACAATTGGTTTTACAAAGTTAATAAACCATTTTAGAAAAATGCAGTGCCCCCCCCCCATCTTGATGCAATCGGTGATCCAATGTGCGGTGCATAAAGGAGTAGTTCCATGAATAGAAGCAGTCGACGTTGGTTAAGCATTTTAAAATTTGAAAATGCACAAAAGGTATAAAGACAGCATAGAGTTCTGTCATCTTTGTGGTGTGGTCATTCTGTTTCCTTTGTGTTCTGACCTCAGTGGTAAGAGAAGGGATCGTGCAGGATGCACGGAGCACGTGAGTGCCTACGCATACGTCAGCACAGCGCCACAACCTCTTGTGCAGCATGGTGCAATGCCGGGGTCGTCGAGAAGCTGTGTGGGATTTTCTGAAGAGGTCTACTGCCTTTTGCGAGTTGACCCTGCCAGTATCAGTTTGTGCTGTCTGCTGTCCCGTCTTAAAGGGCCCATGAAACGATTTTTGGGTTGGGATAAATCATTTTAGATTGGGATTTTACTAATAGCACATCGTTCAGTGGGCCAAAAGAAAAAAGGTAGAAAGTCAAGAGCTTGACTTTCAGTGCGAAAGTTTGAAAAAACAGCGGACTATTTCGTACCTCCTCCCCTTCGTAACCTCTCTGCCTTTTCACTGTGATACATCCGCGGTCCCAAAAGCGCGTCGTCGGGTCCAAACTGACGTCACACGAGACCGGACCTCATTTAGTCCCTTCACCCCTAAGCTGACATTGTGGTGGAAGCTACGTGCTTGCCGGACCAATCAGCCGCCTCCGTTTCATCACCTGACCTCATTCTCTGCAGCCACAGTTGCCACACTCACGTGGCAAAAGTGTGGCTAGCCCAAGGAGCGCGTAGCTTCCACCGCACTGTCAGTTTAGGGGTGAACGGGGTAGGGAAAGAAACTTTTGTCTGAATTTTGAGCGACGGGCTAATCTTCTAGGGGGAGAATGAATGTGTCCGGATTACACAAACCAGGTTCCGAGCGAGAGGGGCCTCCCTTCTTTTCGTCTTCTTGAACTGTTTGGTGGAATGCGCGATTTATGAGTTGAGGAGGAAAGCGAAACAGGAAAAAGTTGGAAAAGCGTTTCATGACCCCTTTAAGTCAATCGTTAGAGGTAGCATACTGACACCCAATCACCAATTAAAGGTATCATACTGACACCCAAGGCTTCCTCACCTGGCTCAGAGGGGTGGAGCTAAGACCCAGGAGGGGCAGTCCCGACACTCCGACAGGTGCAACCAGGGCCTTGCCTTGCGACTGGGCAGGGGCACAAAATAACTGGGATTAGCACAACCCGAATCACCTACACAGTTCACGTTATGTGACAGGACAATACCCAAAGCTCGCTCCTAAATGCGGTCTACTAACCCCTAACCTTTACTAACCCGTAACCATTGAGGGAGAGCAAGACACCGACAATCAAGATTGTCAACAAGACCATTGCGCGACTCCTCGTAGGTCAATTGACTGCAGAGTTCCACATCAGATTGTACATACTTCGTTTAGTTCAAAATGTCTAGCCTATCCCGGAGTGACATGTACGGTGGAGTTACTGGCCCTTGTGGAGACAGAGGGGTCGTCTACAACCTACAGCATATCTGACAAGCACACAAATCTGAGCTCTGCCATAGTGGTCATACCTACGACTGCTCATTTTTTTGCAAAATGTCTAACTCTTGCATCAAGGGTCCCCATGTGGTAAAGATTAATCTCTAATCTTCCAGTAAAGACATCTCAAATTATCACCGTTTTGAGGCAAGGATGCCAAACGTAAAAATATTTTCTTTCTTTCTTTAATGACCTACTACTCCTGCAGCTCACTGTCACTTCCACCTATGCTTGGCAAGTTTGATTCGAGACAGCGTCCCTGCATGGTGGACATGTACTCTCTCAACTCGTGCAGGTCAATATACAAGGTGTGGGTCAAGTTATACATGTGTGATCAACCATGTGAGACCATCAACAATACCCGATGCCCATTATACAGTCAAACCCGTTTATAACGAACAGCAGAAAAAGCTAGGATCAGTTAGACATAGCAAAACCCATTTACGACGAACTTCCCCAATGCGTTCGCTGTAAGGCGAGAGCTTCTCTTTCTTTCTCGTCTCTTCACTTCCACCTTGTAACAAAACACCAATTTTTTTTTTTTTTTTTTTTGCGTGCGTGCAGTTTTTTTTTTTATAGCTTTTTCCCTTTCTGAACCACTTCTCTTCGCATGAGCTTTGCTTGAGCTTTTAAAATTTTCTTTCTTGCCTGCCTTTTTTTTTTTAAAAAAGGGGGAGGGGGACAGGCTAGAAAACGATTGTTTGCGTGCATTTAAAAGCCTTCCAGGGGGGGGAAAGTTTGAGATAGCCAATATGTCAATCGTTTTAAAAGTACTTTTTTACATGCAGTTTTATTTAAATTTTCCGAGAGTTCAATATCGACAGTAATTCACTGTACATGGGTTCGTTTTAAACGGGTTTCACTGTACTCTGTTGCAGGCTAACAAGAGCAGGACAGGCAGCTCTGGCAAAATCCTCCACCCTTTCCACTTTAGCAGAGCTAACACTGGAGACGAGGAGAATCCCCTCAACTCAAGTGTTCGCTCTGCTAAAATGGGAAGTGTGGACGGCTTTCTGAGAGGAGCTTGTCCTGCAACAGGGTATAGCACCTTGCTGGCAAGAACAGGCCAGCAAGTAATATGCGCAACAATTCAAGTTGGGTAGCAGCCACGAACGGGCATCTCTGGTCGACACCGATGACTGCACTCAAATCGAGAGCACCAAAAGCAACTTCAGGCAAAATGTGCCCACCTCATCAAAGAGCCTGCTGTTGCTGACCGAAGCGGACAGTGGCCTGATGCACGACCGGGAGGTGGCAGAGACCTGCACGAAAGAGGGGCGCTATGAAGGGTCTGTCGCAGCACTTCCACACCGATCCATCAATCCTTTTCGACTAGAAGGAAAGTTGGGGCAGTAAACTATTTTGTACAGCGGTTTTGTGTACCTTTTATTAGGAGAATTACTAGAGGGTACAGAAACACAAACCAATCGTACAATTTCACCGAAATTTCTGGAGGAGTCAAAACTGAGCTAGAAGTGCAGAGATGAGGCATGGGGCCAGTAGCTGGAACTACCGGTAAAAATAGATGCACTATACTCTCATCGTATAATGAACTAAAGCCCAATTCTACAGGCCGTCAGGTCCAATCACGAGCCTGTTGGAAACCATGTGGTATATTTGCTTTGCCGTATGTATCAGTGTGCCAAGACGTGTCATGCGGAGGAGAGTTTTTCGTCTGCTTATCGAGCCCTTGCGGCGACCCCGTCTGCTTGCTACTACTGAAGGATTAAATAACGCCTGGAAGCAATGCGGCGAAGAGAACCTGGGATCAGAACCAGTGCCCATTAAGAAATTAAGATGAGTCGGATCGAGTATTCGCCAGGGAAGCGTATGTATGGACCACACGAGGAAGGGAGATATGGGTCCGGGTATGTTTTACGTACACTAAGATAGGATCGTCATGGCTAAGGCGAAACGACTTCCTGTCAGTGTTGCCTGCACGCCCTCCAGCTTCTCCATACAGTGGGCATATTTACAAAATATGGCACGAATATTTCTGAAACTATATACCATGTACCCTTACTTCACCAATATAAAATAGCGCACTATCACATCACAGAACCATATCCGCAAGATTAGTGCTCTTTAAACCCCGAGTATCAAAATTTCTTTCACACTTTTTTGCAATGCGGGTGCAAGCTTTTCTGAGGTAGTGCTTCGCCCGCCAGCCTTCGGGCCTTAGTCTATCGTGAATGAGACTGAATATAGTCACTGAACTGCTTGAATTACTTCAGCTAGTGCAGCCAAGTAAAACACACCCAACGTGCTATTACAGCACGATTTGTGGAACCTGCGAATAAATGCCAGCTATGCAATTACTACCCTATATAAATACCGGTAAGGACATGCTCTCATGAGCTAAAATCTCAACATTCAATGAAGAGGGTCAATAGTCAAGGGCAAAACTCCATGTGCTTCTAAGTGTTCAGCAGAAGTAACCTAACAGAGGGCAAACCCAAGGACATGCAATAGGTTACACACGAAACAATTAATGGGTTTAAAAAAACAAGCAAAACCAGACCAGACACAAATGCCCTCCCCAAAGCACACCAATGACCGGTATCCATTACGCAAGCTGCATTCAATTAGAAGCTAAATGCGAGATTGTTTACACAGGCTGTTTAGCAATTTGAACCGAAAAAAGCATGCCAAGTACTGTGCACCTTGGTAAACTACACCTTAGTTCACCAAGGTCGCAAAAGTACGCCTTTGAAAAATTCCCCAGCTGCACATTTGAAAAAACCGACTCTAGGGGTCATTTACGCGACGAAGTCGCGAACATTGAACGATCTAAAAGCGAACTAGCACTTCGGTGAACCTCGGCAACAGCCCTGGGTAGGCCGGTGTATTCAGGATAGCGGAAACTACAAAAATGGCGACATATCGGTGAATGCCCCGAATACACCGAGCTCTCAACTGCTCCCCGCTGAAGACTACGCGTTCCGATAGAATTAACGAAGGCCTAGGAACAAGCAAAACTCTGCGCACGCCCCATATCGTCATGCGATTCAGGAATGCTCCCTTGATTAGTAAAAGGTCGGCGAAGAGGTCAACACTCACCACAGTCCTTGAAAGGGGGGCGGCCAGCTTGATGGCGAACATTTTTTTGTCCTACGGGTGAGGTTCGAACGTCTAAAAGAGAGGAAGTGGCACGTTAATCACGGTCCAAATCTCTTTTTCGCACTATCCGATCGTCGGCTGCAGAATTTGCAAGTTAAAGCGAGAGTAAAGCGGGGTGACCTTCAGAATACCGGCTCGGATTGGAGCGGCCGTTGGTAAATCAAACGCTCTCGCGTTAAATATCGATAAATACTCTTTGCAACTTGTAGGGAAGATATTACTTATCAAGTTTTAGAAATAAGGAAGTTTAGAGTTTGATACTAACCACTAGATTACCGCGGATACGAGAAAGCTTAACAGAAACTCACCGTACTGATCCGAGAGGAGTGCGACCGAGGGACTGCGCCTGCGCAAGATTTTCCGGTGTGTAGGAAGTATCTAAAAGGCGAAAAGCAAAGTAGAGCAGTATAATCATAACTAATTTATATTTAAGTAAAATTATGCACAAATAACTAATAAAAAGTAATAAACCAAAATAAAATTGACATTTTATTGATTATAAAAATAAAATTAATTGAAACTCTTCCACTCGTTTGAGTCGGGTTTTATGACGTCACGCGTACAATTAAAAATATGAGCCAATAGTGGGCGTGGATTCTGATGCACCGTACATCGTCTGCGGCCTCGCCGCCGGTCTCGCATCTCGTTCTCATAAAATGCAATGCACTTCGCTGCATGTGTGATGGCGGTCTTCTTGATCAACAACTGTAAATTCAACGGTTGTGGCCTAACATTCCCCACTCTGCGAGAACTCATATTACACATCGAAGACACGCACATAGGTACTGTTGAGCCCGGAAACCGCTGCCGCGAGTGCGTCTAGGGAGGGGGCCCTCCCATCCACGCCTCGGAAATGCACATCCGAGATGCGCGCAGATGCGGAGCGTACGGGGCTTGACCCTGCCAGCACACGCTTGCGCCCTCGAAAGTGGCTCTGGACCGCCACGTTGGCCTCGCATAATTGGCCAAATTCCTATAAATCCCGCTTAGAAACCGTCGGACGTGGAGGTTGTCGAAACGGCGCTACCGGGCGCGCTCGCCGCAGTGGTGCCGTCTGCACGACTTCTCCGGTGGTCTCATGTGCGGTTTCCTCTTTGCAGATAGCGACCCTAGGCAGCTAGAAAAGCAAGAACTTCAACCGCCTTCGTGCCTTCCGGTCAGTTGCATACTTAGGTAGGTTGGCACTCGCTTTCCTAGCCGGAGTGCGTGGGCGCTTTCTTCCACGCACACGTGCATGGTGCCCGGGGATTTGGAGCTGCAGGTGCATGCACAACCGGTGCTGTAGCGGTGCTCCTCGTAAATGCTGTTCGTGCAGTCCCTTTAAAACGGGCGTGGGCAACGTTTTACAGCTTGTCGCACGTAAGCAAACGAATGTCGTGCGGTCCCGTCTCGCTCGTGATACGATGGCCGCTGTTAGTGGGCCCTAATGTGGCGCTTGTTTGGACCCAGGGTTTTCACAGAAGCGTCCCGGATTGAGCCTCTCGGAGCCATACGCAAGAGACAACGGACGCTCTCGCCAGCGTCGTCGATATGCAGCAACACGCCAACAGGTAGAGCTCCTCTGAAGTGCCTTTCTCCACGGGCGGGCCTTGCAACTTTTAATCCAGGTTATACGTAAGCCTTCATAAGCTAGCGTTTGAGCATGAACTCACCACATATATGCTGCCGTCACGTCTGCCATATTTTCCGTGAGGTCGGGCTGTCTGCTGTGTTTGGGAAGGGGGGGGGGGGGGGGGGGGGGGGTTTACTACAGCCTCCTACAGCAGACACTGAGCGTCTGAGCACCGGTGTGTAGTGCTCCAGGAAGTTTGTGGGGCAGGGGACGTGACGGACCCCCCTCTTTTGCAGGGAGCGAGATGGACGAAGAAGAAATGACCAGCGAATCCGATGACAGCAATGATTCGTGGACGACGCAGAACGAACTTATCTCCGAGTTCATCATGAGGTTTGTTGGAACGTCTGGCTTGTTTGGGAGAAATGATTGAGGAGTCTTGCCGTCAAGGTGCACATATCTAGTTTGGTGTCAATAGAATACCTTCTGCAGACAACTGTAGGTCATACAAAGTTTCATGAGAACAGTGTGAGCAGAACTTCGGCAAAAAAGCCACCGGAAAGATTATCAAGAACCATTCTTAGTCATGTCATCTTTGAGATCAATGATAAACCACCAGCTGGCACATGCATGATGTCTGCAGGCAATGACAGTTTAGGTAGCCATGTTGTCGGAGGCCTCGGAACTATTTGGGATAGGGGGTGCAACGGTGGTGGGGGGTGGGGGGGAGAACAGGCAAGATTTTCCTTCCTCTTTCTCATTCTGTTTACTTCAAATTTTTAAATGTTTAGGGGTGGCTTCCCTGTTCCGACGCCGCTGCACATGGTGACCGGTAGAACTTGCCACCACGAGCTCTTTCGTGTGTGGGTTCCTAACATTTTGGGAAACGGAAGCTGTCCAAGGCGTGGCTCTACCGAGCCCTCCACGAAATATTTTCCACTTATAGACCTTTCCAGCGGCAGTCTCGAACGAAGCGATTTACAGTGGGCGTCCCTGGTTTTGAGAGGGTACGTCAGTGTTGCCCGACTGCGCTGAGCTGTGGGTTTTCTAGTCAGGGGGCTGTGGCAGACTGCGTAGGCGCACTTCCGGGCGCTGGTGGAGGCTAAATTGCCGCGTTCTATTTTTTGGTTCGTGTTCTATGGCAAATAGAATTTCTCAGGGTTTTTAAGAAAGCATTTTACTATTTTTTGGGAACAAAAATGAAGAAATGAAAGCTGCTTTAGTGAATCCGTGCGCGACAGAACAAATGCAACTGGAAAATTTGTTTAATTTTATGTTGATTTTTTTACGGCACCATACACTCAGCTGTGTCAGTTTACAAAGGTCTTAGCCGCCAAAAATATTTGACCACACAGGATATCCAAACTGCATGGATATTCCCTGCCCAGAACATGAAATTCAACGAGTATCATCAATTGAACAACATATAGATATATTGTACGTACCCCACGGTGCCGCGTTATCCGAACAGGACTTGAGAAAGGTCTCGAATAACACAGCATGTCCAATATACAGTGCCGACGATCTCCGATAGTCGCTTCACGACAATCGGACGGAATCCGGTGTGTCTTGGGGAACATCTAGAAGAGAGCTGCTTCTTCGCACATCTTCAAAGCAAATGAACGAACGTGTCTATTCCGTCGCCACAGCCCGGACCCGACCCTATCAGCTATTTTTCGCGAAGACCCGGAACATAGCCGGGAAGGCTTTTTGGGGATTATCTCAACATAAATAATCCTCCAAGAACGTTGAACTGCCTGCGTCGCGGGCAGCTTGACGTTCGCTCTCTTCGTTCGTTTCCTGCGAAGGCCGAGTAGGCTACGAGCCCTGGACTATTCCCTGGTTCTCACAGTGGAAGATAACACACAAAGGGTAAGTATCCTAAACAGGCAAATAAAGTAAAAACTTAAAAGAAAAGCCGGCGAACTCCGAATACACAATGCAGGTGGGGAGTCACGCTGACCGGGTTTCCACAGCTCAGGCGGATGCCAGACATTTCTGGCTGATAGGGGTCGCTCGATTCGCAAAATGGCGGCGGCCAGAGCGCTCTTTTTGGAAAGGTCTATAGCACTATTCCAATGCCTCAGCATAACGTCCTACCCCAAAAAATGCAACAGTGCTGGTCACATGGCAATACCATAAGTAGAACAGATTTGTGGATTGGTAAATCTCGGTGCAGTCACTTATGAACTGAAACTCGTATTCTGATTTCCAATGAGAACGCTATTGGTTGTTGCCATGGTCACATAATCGCTTCTGCCAACCATGGGGAGTGAGGCATGCCACCCACATGGGAAGTGCCCTGTTGTGGCAATGACACAGTTGCAGTGGACACCAAAGTTAGATGTGTACATGGCATGACACTGGTGGCGCAAGCAAGTGATCACTTTTTTTTCCTTCTTTTTTTCGTCTTTGTCTTAGAATGAAAAATGTTAATTTGGGGCACTAACCCGAGTGGTAAAGCATAGTGCCTGCTGGTGCTCTTTTGAAGTAAAATATAAAAAATTGCTGGAGTCGCGTTTGTGCCAACAGTGTCGTGCATTGCTTTCTTAAAGTAAGCACATGTTTGGCTTTGTGGCAATTGTAAAAACAATATTTCATCTTTTTTTTTTTTTTTTGCACAAAGATTTGTTTTAGGTGGCAAATTACTTCTCAAATATTCCGAGTTCTATGTCATCATTGTGCATGACTGAAGAAAAGAGTGGAGGGGCTACCTTGAGCAGTCGGTTCTGAATGGTCAGTCTTAGTGCAGAAAAGAAACAACTCAATTTTGAGAGGAAAATATTTCCTCTACAGTTGTAAGTTGAATTTCTGTAAAAAAAAAAAAAAAAGCAGGCATGCATAATTGCCTTGTCGGGGGTCCTTCAGTAATATGGAAGAGGTTTCTTGCCATGGAACATAGCACTTCTGAATCTATCCATGCAATACCCAAAGAGACATTGCAAGTAGCATGTATGTTTGTGGAACATAGGAGAAAAACACACAAAAATAAATGACCGAGCAAAAAAAAAAGATGTAAGAGTGCGAATACTAATTGAGAGTAGTGAACACACATTTTAAAATGTTTTGAACCATAGGGTACCATAATTAACCTCGCCTGGCTGATCCACTGTAGGTTGTCATTCGACTAGGGTTGATAATAGGCCATGTTCAAAAATCCCTCCATGCAACACCGCTCATTGCACTCTGGGAACCAGTTTCCCATGCAGCGGAGTGGCATTGTTTCGGTCTCGATCGGACAGCTGCTGTCTGTACACCTGCAACCAAGCTCGTGAACTTCCAAAAGTGTTGGGTAACTTCCAAAAGTGTTGGGTAAAGTACATCTAAAAGGTACTTGAAGTAAAGTACAAAGTAAACGAGACGTGATATGCTTCAGGTAAAGTAGTAAGTACACTGGGTGTAATGTACTTGAAGTAAAGTTCTATATACACAATGTACTTTCAAAGTAAAGTACTATCGGGGAAAAATGAAATGCGAACAGAGAAGCGCGTGGCTCGCGGTACAGGCTGCGCCGCCTGGAAGTGAGCCTAGGGGCGAGGGTGCGTGGCCTACTCCAACGTGTTCACGCCCCTCCCTCTGCGCTCCCCAAGCTTCAGCAGTGCGCCTCTTAGTGCGCTGAAAGCTATCACCGCTATCTTTGCTGGCTCAGCGCGTGCGGTGCAAAGAAGCTCGCCGCACTCTCCAAGCAGGCAAAGATAGCGGTGACAGCTTTCAGCGCACTGAGAGGCGCACTGCCGAAGCTGGGGGAGCGCCAATCGAGGGGCGTGAACACATCGAAGTAGGCCACGCACCCTCGCCCCTAGGCTCACTTCCAGGCGGCGCAGCCTATACCACGAACCACGCGCTCCTCTGTTCGCATTTCATTTTTCCCCGATGTACAAGTATTTTAACACAATCATTCATGATGCCCTTTCATTCCCCTATACAGTGATTTTTTAACTGGTATGCATTGCCCAGGGGTAATCAGGGGTGCATGACCTATTTTCAAAAACAGTGGTGAACATTTGATAAAGTCAAGTAACCACAGAGTTGTTAATTTCAGGGATGAAGCCGAATTCAGAAGTCCCTTTTCTGAATTTGGCGCTGCTTGCAGTGGATTATTGAACCCAAGGGGATTCAATGTACTAAAAGAGAGCATGACATCATCCTCGTAGCTTCCTCAAGCAATCCTCTCATAGAGGAGTGTCCTCTCCTTAATGAAAAAAACATTGAGTGTGCAAGCAAGCTGGTGATAATTAGTCATAATGTGACACCTGAGATTGGGGTGCGAAAAAATTAAGGAACTCTCAAGTCAAAGGAAACGACAAAAGATAATGCCTCAAGACATTGCGACGTTCTCCTCTGTTTGTTTCTTCTACTTGAAAGAATTTTTCTGCACCGCAGTCGCGGGTGCTACATTATGATTAATTATGCTGTCCTAATATTTTAACTTCCTCACTTGCGCTGACCGACCGAGAAGCAGTGAGAGTTCAAAAAGGTATGAGAGAGTTGCTCCCAGAACAGACAGAGCAATGTGTCGTCTGTTCCCTTCTCGTTTTCTTCAAGTTTAAGTAGAATATCCCTCCCAGTATTTCTTTGGAGTTGACAAAAGATTCATATTGTGATAAAAATTTAACGAAATCAAATTTGGGGAATGTACTTTGAAGTCGGGAATTGTACTTTCTTTGGAAAGTACCGCAAAAAAATGCTTTAAGTAAAGTACAAGTACTTACTCAGAGAATGTAGTTCAAGTAAAGTACAAGTTTCCTGATTCTACTTGAAGTAGTACTTTAAGTACAATGTACTTAAAGTACTTCCCAGCATTGACTTCCAAGCCTGCATAACTTTTCTTCACGCACATGCGAACGTGCTTGCACGACAGGGACACTAGCAGGGACGTTGCAGTGTGTTATGAACTTCGGGGTTGGGTTTTGCCCTAACTTTATTAACTAATAACAAGCGGCCGGGATGAGAGTAGCCTTTTATCCTCGTAGTTCCAGAGTCAGCCCCTCTGATGAGAGTTTCTTAGCTTTCCTCGGCACAGTCGTTACAGAGCGGGTCGGTGGTGCCATCTAGTGAGGGCATACAAATACACAGCACCCCTCCCTTCCTATTGAAGGCTATGTGAATCTTTGGGGCTTGCGGACAGTTTGCGTGGGTCATCTCATACAGGGCGCCCTTGCAGTGTCCACCATCCTTGGTCTGCTTGTTGCGTAGTCTTGTTCCTTGTCAGGTGAAAGTTATTCCCCAAGACTTGATGCCAAAGTAGTCAAGTGTGGCTTGACTTGGTCGTTGTGGCGGCGCACCTTGCCCTTGCGGAGTTGATACAGTCACAATGGATGTTCCGCTGGTGTTGTCACCCTTACACAACCACCATCAAGGTCCCTTGCCGAAATTGCTGGCTGCAACCTTGT